CTCAAGGGATATTTCTGTCTTTAGGTGTTTTTATGAAGTAAGAGAAGAACTAAGCTGCTCAAAGTCAAGAAGATCATTCCACAAGCAAAGTACATGAAGATTTGGGCCTTTTTGAATGGTTATTAAAGGCTGTGACACACCAAGCGGACATCAAAGAACTAGTGGCAACGAAAGCTGACTGTGTTGTGGCTTGGATGGATGGATGGATTGATTGTATGCTTCTAGCAAAAGTTCTCTGCGTAAGTATGGGTACCTGAGGGACTGACAAGCTCACAATATGTGAGCTGACCAGTGATGTGCAGCATCACTTTCGTCACAGCTTTATCCACTCTGAAGGAGTTTGATGAATCTGATTCACTCTCTGTGTGAAGCAGAGTCACCTATTCAGAGAAAGAAACATGGTCATGCAGAATCCTGTATCCACAGTCCTGACAAGACAATTTAATTCTTAAAACAGGCAGACACTATGGTCTTTTGGTCCTCTTTTGTTTCCAGTTGACTGTACCTTGCTGGAGGTGGTGGTGTCTTCCACAATGGCTGACACATTGCGGATGTCTTTTTTTGTAGTGAAGATAGTCATTCCTCCAGACAAAGAAGAAAGAGAGGAATACAGAGAGAATCTACCAAGAGATAAAGATTCTCTTCGTTTCCTCTTTCTCATCCCTCTTCCTCTTCCTGTGAGTCTTAGATCTTCAGTAAGCAAAAAGTTCACCTAGCATGTACCGAGATTAGATGAATGAAAACAGTGGCTCTGTTCCAAAACCTTGAGTTGCCTTCTCTACATACTGTAGGCAACTGGGCAACACTTTATAATAACTTTCATTAATAAATCATTAACAAACATTATATAATGCTTAATGGATCATTAGTTAATATATATTCAAAGAGTTAGAAACATGAGATAATGTGCTTGTTAGTGTTTGCCAATAAACTTATTAAACAGATAATGTTCAAACAAATCATTATTTTATGTAAGTTAAAATACTTACAAATGTCATTAAACTTTCAATTCCATTTGATCAAGCACTTATTGAAAATCTACAAATGATTTGAACAGATGTTATAAAATGATTAAAAGCTTGTGTTAATGCACAACACTTTAGCTGCTATTGAGGTGTGATACGGGTAAGGTTAGGGACAGGTTTGGTGGTATGGGTAGGTTTAAAGGTTGGTTAAAGGGTCAGCAGTGTACAGAGGTCAATTTGATTATTATAAGGGAACACGGTTCGATCTGTTTATATTATATTGTTTTGATAAATGAACAAGTATTTTCTTTTTAAAATTATTTGTTTTCCCCTGTTTATTTATGAGTCAAGGAATATCCTGTTTAATGATATACTGAAGAGTAGTATACTAATGTGAGTGTTGAGGCGATTTTTTGCACCAAAATTACAATCTGTTATGTATGGAAGCCCGTTTCCGCCACTGAATAAAAAAATATAATTCAGTAAGTCATATTAATGAAAAACTTTCTCAAAATTATGACTTAGTATCTCGTTATAATGAGAAACTTTCTCGTAATAATGACTTAGTTTCTCGAAATAATGACTTATTTTCTCATAATAATGACTTAGTTTCTCGTTATAATGAGAAACTTTCTCGAAATACTGACTTAGTTTCTCGTAATAATGAGAAACTTTCTCATAATAATGACTTAACCTAATCCAAAAAACAAAACAAAACACTCACTAGACGCCTGCGCAACGCAAGAGTGTCAGCACGCTAGCGCCATCTGTTGGTCAAAGCCATGCAGGAACACCGCTAACATTGCTTTGTTCTGTAATCTAAAGTGTATAATGCTATAGTCTGTCATTAAATAACGATTTCAGATAAATTATCTGTATGTAGTCTTTTGTGTAATAGTTACTCTGCCAGATAGTTATGGCTTCAAACATTCCAGACTAATATTTCAGTTAAGAAATCCAGGCATTTTATGAAGAAATGAAAGCCATTACACATATAAACTTAATTTATAGATGTGTATTTATTTATTTATTTTTTTTGGATTCGTTTTTTTTTTATTTAAAAAAAATGACATGAGAAAATAAGTCATTATTATGAGAAACTAAGTCATTATTATGAGAAAATAAGTCATTATTATGAGAAAATAAGTCATTATTTCGAGAAACTAAGTCATTATTATGAGAAACTA